AAAATTTTGATTAACATCCCTTACACAAAAACAAAAAACGTACTCAAAATATAAAAGAACAAACTAACTAAAAGAGATACTCGAAAATAAGAACTATAAATATAACTACGGAGTCTTTAGGCGTCCCCTTTGCCGTCTTCCTGCGGAACGGGCTCAGGAACAATGTCTTCCTGATATGAAATGGTTAAATAAGGAATGAGTTACACCAGCCCAGTAAAGACATCACACTATCTCACCGCCACAGAGGTAAAGGTGGGTAGAAAACACAAAAAAGACCAATGGAGCATAATTTATAATAAACTCGTTTATTAACATAAAAACCTTTACTGTCCACTTACCTCGGTGAGATCCATAAAATAACATATGAAAGCAATAACATTATCATCATCATAAAATCATATGAACTGTATAACATAATATTTACCACGCCTTTGTATTTCAATCATTAAACAACACATTTTCCTCATTTATCAGCCTACTAGTATCCATGGGGATCCATAGGGGTTCAGTTACCCATGAACCTTTAACAATTATAACCTGATTCCAGAGCCGTCCCCATACCCCGTCTGGTATGGGCACCAAAATCATGAACCTCAATACCCCGTCCGGTATGAGGGTGAAATGGACCGTCCTAATACCCCGTCCGGTATGGGCACCAAAACACAGAAGGTCTCCATACCCCGTCTGGTATCAGAGACCACGTTCCCAGTAGGGTTCCCTACGTACCCGGTCCGTCCACCATCTCACAGGATATCTAGTCAGGCTGTCCACATTATCTATTTATCAATTCACGCAACTTTTTATTCTTTTTTTCCTCAATCACCATCATCAAATCACACACAAACATGCAAACCAGTAGTTTATGCCAAACAAGACAACACACAACATCAGGTTCTCAGTCATTCAACCCATAGTCAATAAAACAGTGATATATGCACACGAAACTATGAAATGAAAACATCAGACATCATACTGCATTTAAAACTGTAAAATAGAACAACAACAACTGACCGACAAATACACCAGACTCGGGCTCCATTAGCGACCTTAAACAATTTCACACATCTATTAATTCATGAAATACCATTTTTAGCATTTATTGAACTTTAATACCGTGATAGGAAATAGGGTGAGGGGTCCTTACTTGTTTCGGGGTCTGAATACGGCTCTACAGTGCGCCTACAGGCTGTCCCTAATTTTTCCTGAATTTTTTCCGAAAAACTGAAACGTACTACTGGTACATGCACGTGTCCCAAAAAATCCCAAATTAGACCTAGGGCCCCTTTCGGCCAATATCGCAATTCTGGCACGGCGGCTCCGCCGTGCTCCAGCGACGGCGTCGCCACTTGCGGCGGTGATTCGCCTTGGGTTGGCCGTTTTCGGCCGAATTCGGTTACGCTTGCATCTGTCCCTGCGATAGAACAACCCTTGGGCCCTCAGTGAGCCGAAAAATCACGAAAAACCAAAACTTACCGGCAGCGGTGCTCTCAGGTGCAGCGGCTCCTCCGGCGTGAGTCGAGTTTTGATGTTTGGCTCCGATCAACCTATAGAGAAAAGAACGGTTATCAAAGTGGTATAAAATTTGCATCAAACGGAGGCCGGGAAGGGCCTCATCGGAAGCAAAAATTGAGGAGGGGTGGGGCGACGCCGCTGGGTTTCGGCTGGGTTTTTCGGCCGTTTGGCCAGTGGTTTGGCTCTGGTTTGGCCATAGGCGGACTCAGCATCGAAAAATGAGCAAGGGGGAGAAAATTTACCTCGATCGACAGTCGGAAACTTCCCCGGTGCGGCGGCAGATGGCGGCGGCCGGCTCCTCCGGCGTCTGGTTCTTCTTCTCCGGCGAGCACTGGCGGCTAGGGTTTCTTTGGTCAGGTGTGGGTGGGGGTATTTATACCCTTTGCCTTTTAATCTCAACCATCCATCAAGATTAAATCTGGACCGTTCGATCGCGATTTAATTGGGATTAAATTTGGGCCGTCCATCACGATGCAATCTGGACCGTCCGTGCCTGATTGAATCTGGGCCGTCTGTGCGCGTGAATCTGTGCTGTCCGTGCGCACGTTTGATCTGGG